TCTCTAACAATTTACAGTAAATCTGTTTAAGTAGAAAACAGCAGGAAGACAGAAAAGTCAAAATAATAGGACAAGATTATATTAATAAGAACATTACACTGGACTGCCACTACAACATTAGTCTAAAATTGAATTAAAATTCGTAGTTGGCACCACATCAAAGGCAAGAAAAACCAGTCATTTGCAGTAATATGAATAGTGACATCATTCTACTGCTAGTCTACTTTGAATGCATTTAATTGTAGCATTTGTATGATTTTTCAAGTGTCTGTAGTGCTGCTGAGAGATGTTTCTGTATAAAGTTCATTGAGAGTACTTCCTAGCATAGTGACCACAGCTTCAAGTAATTTTATTTATGCTTATGATTTAACACACTTTCAGAGCCTGTTGTTCCTGTTCTCCCCTGTTCAGACACAATCTCAGGGTCCAGTGTGTAGTCCCCCTCTGAGTCCTACCAGGATTAACGCCGTGATGTTGACGGGATCTCCAGTCTTCTCGATGATGAGCCGGACCACGGTTGTGCTGCTTTCGTTCACCACAAAATCCGTCTGTCCCAGAAACCTCAGCTCTGTCTGTCCACTCGCATACGGGATGGAAAGTGCTATGAGGAGCCCTGCTAGGGTCAAGACAGTGGGCATTCCTGAAACAACCAAAAGAGGAGATTCAGTCATTCTTTTCATTTATAGGCCAATTTTTTTTCCTGATGGATTCTAAAGTACTATGCATATTGGAAGGGACCCGATCCTGCCCAAAGAGGAATTTATGCAGGACACTGCGTGGTCACCTCTGCTATTCAGAACAGTGCCCTGGGATCCGTGTAACATAACATTATTATACTATATGAATGAAAAAAAACATTAGTTTAATTTCATGATCAATGCATCTATTTAAACATCTTTTTACAACCCATCATATTAGTTCATTTGCTTCCTAGACACGTACAGTAAACAAATAGACAATTTAAGAAAGCCTGTCATTGCCTTCGTACTATTTATCAGTCATATTAAAACTTTAATATGATTAATTTTTATATGTGGAAGAGGAGTGTTTTGTGCTTTCAACACAGAGTTGCCACATCGTAATCTGCTGCTAATGAGAGGATCTCATGCCATTCTTCAAACTACCAAAAGCTTTACACTGGGAAAAGGTTTAAATTCTTTAATTAAATACACAATTAGCTCTGTGAATTCAGGTCGGAAGAACAATAAGAAACATAGTCCTCAGGACGTGCGCCACGTTCAACCTCATGCGAAAGCAAGTGTTTCCTGTTAGATTGTATTGTAGAGACTCTGGCTGTAGCCACATCCCCTGTGATTTATGTCTGAACTATGATTCCAAAGGGGCAGTGTAGACTTGCATACCTTCAAAAACAACAATAATGACACTTCGACCGAAATCTCTGTAACACTCATTTGTGTTTTGACAACTGCCATGGTTAGGAAACTGACAATCAACCGAACATTTAGAAATCTGAACTTTCAAACAATGGGTTTAGCTGTGCGGGCAAACAGAAGCTGAGGTCCAGACACTAACTGAAATCTCTTTCGCGGCACTTGAGTTAGGTATGCTGTTTTCCAATCATTTTGGGAATAGGCTGTCTGAATACTAATAGCATGTTTTGCAAGCTCAAATAAATGTGGGTACAACTCTACAACCAACGTGATCAGCATGTCTTCATCTCAACAAACGCTGCCAGTATGCCTTGGCTGCTGTAAATCATAATCTTTCCTGGTGTCATTTCTTCTCGCTATGTACAGATTAAATCATATGTGAATTCCACAGGACAGTGCAGTGGCTCTGTGACTAAGGATCTGTGC